AGTGGTGGGTTTTAACATTTTACACACTATACGAGGTCTTAATATACTACTTATTTTTTAAAAGAACAAGCCGTCCGGTAAAATTGGAATTATTGTAGATAATTTTTTCTAAAAAATAAGTAGTGATATGTTAATACTTTGTATAATACGTAAAATATTAAAACTCACCCGTATATTTTTATTTTACTTTTACCAATTTCAAGTTAGTTTCCATTGATTACCTTATTTATTTTATTATTTTTGTATCATTTTAGTTACATTTCTCATTTTTTCATTTTTTATATCTATTATTTTTATTTTTTAAACTAAGACTAATATTTAAAAAAGAAAAAGAAATGATGATGGAGGTAGAAAGTAATTCAAAAAATTTAAATAAAAAATTTCAAAAAAAAAATTAAAAACAAAAATTCATCAAAAATAATCCCAACTTTCATTTTGTTGCCCAAAATGGGCATTTCCGTTAACCCTCTGTTAGACACTTAACGGCGACCCAAAATTGGCAAATTTCAGTAAAGTTGGGATTATTATGCATCACAGTGAAAGGTGGGATTATTTTTGAAAAACCGGGTAAAGTTGGGATTATTTTGGGTAATTTTTCCAATATTAGAATAATGAAATACAATTTTGAATGTTCTCAATACGACAAATCCAATAAAGTTATTTTTATATTAAAATACTTTACGGTCTTTATTAAATTGAAGCTCAAAGTTTGTCCAGTTTGACTCGAAAAAGTCAAACTGGATAAATACTTCGGAACGGAGGGAGTAGTTGATACGAGTAACTTACAGAAAATTCTCATGTACATAAAATGAATATTATCTCTGTCCCCCATATATCTTTCCATTAATCCTTTTTATTTGTCACCATAGATTTTCTCATTACTTTTTTTAACTATTAAAATACCACAACTACCTTCACTTACTTTATTTACTACACCTCACCCACCTCATATAATACACTCCACCCATTTTCATTAAGAGTTTTATGGTAAATTTTCATCTTTTTTCAAATCTTCTTAAAAAGCACAAAATTAAAAATCAAAACGAGAAGATATTAGGGTGACGAAGAGAGTATTTTTTAGCGGCAACATTAAATGGACCACGAGCCGGTGGGTATGAATTTTCCAACGAGCAATTAGGTTAGTTAAGCGGGTCACAGATTGTTGGGTATGCATTCCATACGGATAACCGGGCTAAAGACTAATTAAGGCACTAAAACTTTATGTTTAGGCAGACAACTTGACAAATGAGGTGGCTCAAAACCTACTCTGACGCCATTATAAAATTTAAAATATGGTAAAGGTCACTAGAATAAGTCATAAAATACTTGAATTGAATCACATTAACACATTGAATTCAAGAGATTTACGAGTTCACCCAAAAAAGATTATAAAAACACTCATTTTTCTCTTCAAAGTCCGTGTGGGTTACTCTCGAATAACACAAACGTTGCACTAAAATTTTCAATATTTTTTATATGATAAATCTAATGAAATCATTTTTATAAATACCAACATGTAATGTTTTTTATTTAACTGACGATCAAAGCTCGATCATTTAGTTTGACTTAAAAAAAAGTCAAACCAGACAAACACATGAAAGTAGCAACTATATATGTTTGAAACTACTTTGAATTATAGTACATACATATAAAAATAACAACTTTAATTTGCTTCCATGTATATACTACGTACGTAGTATAATTTAATTTCGAAAGATATAATAAGCCCCAAGTGTTACAATAACAAGTGCGGCCGCCACCACATTCACCACCAACACTTGATAATCGTCATTTTCATGTGGAATCCGCGGCGGCGAGCCGCCGTCTTCGCGGTGGCCGTCGTGTTTGTCGGTTGTTAATGTCACGGTGAGGATTCCATCGCCGACCTTCCATTCCATTTCTTCCATGTTAATAATGTCAAACCCTTCTGGAGCTTCAAACTTTTCTTTTAGTTTCTTCCAGTCGTTGCCCTCGTCATCAACTCGGCATTCTAGCTCCACCCTCACCTTGTTCTTCTTGCTCTTTTTAACCTTTAGCTTTTTAAAACTTTGGCATTCTGGGAAAAAAAAGGAAAGGGAAAAAAAACATATTTTAGAATAATAATTAACACTCTCAATGTAATGTGTGACAATTTTTTTTTTAAAACGGGCTAAAAAATAAAGTGAGACAACTGACATATTTTTTACTACATCTGTCCCAGTGTATTTGTCCAGTTTGATTTTTTTGAGTCAAACTGGACAAACTTTGAACTTTAATTACTCTCAATTTATATCGCATATTAGCATAATGAAATAGAAGTTTGAAAGTTCTCAATACGATAAATCCAATAAAATTATTTTTATGTTAAAATACATTATAGTTTTTATTTAATTGAATCTCAAAGTTTGTACAGTTTGATTCAAAAAAGTCAAACTTGACAAATACAAAAGGGAGTAATGAGTAGATGCAAATTAAATTAAACCTGGAAGATAAATGTGTAGCACATTTTCTACCCACTCGTAAGATAGCTTTAAATCTTCATGCATGTGGCTCGATGACGACATATTATTATTATTATTATTATTATTATTATTATTATTATTATTATTATTATTATTATTATTATTATTATTATTATTATTGTCTATTCCCAAGTAATTATATGATTTTCAATTTTGAATAAATATTGATGATTAATGGCCCCTTTTATATATATGCATAAATGGACATTAGTGGAAAAAATAAAATAAATAAACGAATACTTTGTTTCTTTCTTTGAATTCTTAAGAATTTCTAATATCAGAATGAGTATTTCTTTCATTTAAATAAAATACTTAGTCTGTAAAAACTTTTCAAAAATGAAAAATGGGTGCGCCATAAAAATGGTAATTTGGATACTACTTTTTAATTAAAAATCATGTCTTACACATTATATCTTACCTTATTCAGAGTATAAAGTAAGTTAAGATTCCTCACTCCTAATTTAAGTTGTTTATTACAGAGTATTATTTACGATGTTTTGCCAAAACTACTTTCAATTCAATATTTAATTTTTAAACATAAAATTTTTATTTTTTAAATTTTATACATATAATTAAATATATTAAATTAAAAATAACTTCAACTAAATCTTGTAAACTAATTCAAGAGGAATATTTTAGAGCATGGGGAATATATATTTAAAAAATTATTTAAAAATAATTATACAAACCAAGAAAGAAAGTGATGACAAAGTTATACTCCCTCCGTCCCATTTTATAATGCATGTTTCAGTTTACGATGTTTGACTGAAGTTATTTTCAAATCATTTTATATGACAAAGTTATATAGTAAAAAAATAAAAAGATCTACAAAACTAGTAGTGACAATAATACTTTATTTTATCTAATTGCTAACGAAAATTGAGAAAGAAAGTGAATGAAGTTTGACCCTGTGAATACTGAACATGCATTATAATTTGGGACGGAAGGAGTATTATTTAACAAAGCTATATTATTTAGTGAGGACTAAAATCTATGATTGGTCCTTCAATTTTATGAACTATACACGGTTAGTCCTTCAAATTCAAAAATCCATAGATAATCCTTCAGGTATTCACTAACCTTCTAAATACAGTCTTTCAAGTTTCAAAAGTTCATAAATAGTTCATCAAATATTTATTGACTCTTCAAATGAAGACTTTTTTACAGTACACGTTGAAAGAAAAACGTACGGAGTATTAGCACCATATATATAATACGGAGTACTTGTACCTATATTGTAAGTGATTGTTTAACAAAACGTATAGAGAATAAATAGATTTCCACAATTCCAATCAAAGTTTTGTGTTCGTTACTATACAATTTAAACTCCTTTGAAAGTAAAATTATCCCCTACATTTACAATGGGAGGGAAAGACGCATTGCGCTACTCAGAGAACGGGGTTAGCGTCGGGCATCCATTCAAAGTCAAAATTTGCATCTAGCACCGTGGCAAAAGTTTTATATATAGAGATAATTACACACACACAGAGAGAGAGAGATATATATATATATGGAGCTAGCTACATCTAGCACCCATTGCATGTCGAAAGTTATACATATAGAACTAATATTACATTTAGCTTTTAACATGTACCCTAAAAAAGACTGCATTTGGAAGGTTAGATGAATACTTGAAGCTCAACTTATAAACTTTTGAAACTTGAAAGACTCCATTTGGAGGTTGATAAATACTTGAAAAATTATTTATGAACTTTGAAACTTAAAGTACTAATCATGCACAGCTTATAAAATTAAAAGGCCAATCATGAAATTTAGGGATTGTTTGTTTCAGTCTCTTAATGGTTCAGATGTCTGAATGGTTCAGCACTTAATGGTTCAGACTGTTTGTTTCAGCCTCTTAATGGTTCAGACATTTGCTTCTGAATGGTTAAGACCTCTTATTTGAATTGATCAGACATTTGTCTCTGAATAGTTAAGCAATATACTAGCTCTTAATGATTCAGACCTCTTACTGGTTCAGCACTTAATGGTTCAGACCTCTTACTAGTTCAGCACTTACCTATTCAGAAATTTTCAAACAGCCCTTAGTCTTTACCAAGTAATAAAAAATAGATAATAAAAAAAGTGATTAAAATGGACATATGGAATATAATAAAGGCTAAAGTACTGTTCTCTTCAACTTATTTTGTTACTTATTGGTCATGGTCCCAAAAAATATTCTTGTTTTGACTTTTAAAAAATTTAAGAGAGAAATAATATTGTATTGACTTTCCAATAATATCTTTGATGTGATGGATAAAAGTAAGATGAAATAGATAGATTATTAATAAAATGATATGATGTGATAAGTTAAGAATTAAGAGTAAAGTACTCCCTCCGTCCATGTATGATCTTCCCATTACGCGTTACGAGGCTTGACCGACTTTATTTTCAATTCAATTTAATTGATTATAGAAGTAAAATTTTAAACAAAAATTTATATAGTAATAAACTACATTAAGAATTCTACAAAACTAGAAGTAACAAGACTATATTATTTTATGAAATGACTAGTAAAATTGAGCAAACAAAGTGAGTAAAATTTGACCATGTAAATAGTGTCTAGGAAGATCTATGATGGATAGAGGGAGTAATATTTTAATAGAAAAAAGAAAAACTTCTATGTGACAAGAAAAAAGAAAGGAGTTTTCAAAAGCGAGAGAGCAAAACATATGAGTAGATTTTTTTTGGAATTGAAGAGAAAGAATGACGATAAAAGCTAGGTAAATAAAGTAGCACAACAATGATTCACCTTTAGAGTCGATACTCGATGATGAATGGGAGATTATTAGCATTTGTCAATTCAAAATCAAAACTTTAAAAAAAAGGGCAAAGACGTTAGTACAACACATCTATTATAGGTAACAATTTTGATGTTCCTAGGCATAACAAGTACACTAATGGTGGTGTTCAAAAAAAAAGTACACTAATGGTGGACATGAGCCCAGCTTCTAGAGGAAATACTTTTAACCAGAAAAAAACCCAAGAAAAAACAGCTGAAAAGAATGGGAAAAGGTGATATCAATATCTAGTCAGAGAAAAGAGATTAGTAGCCATAATTGGCACCATAGAGAGAGCCATATCCCCCAGTTTGCCCAGGAATACTTGTGTTTTGGGGGGCGGCGGCTGGCGGGTACATGGAGCCCGCTGGGGGCGCATAAACAGCATTGTAGCCTTGGTCGGCAGGTGGCGGAGCTGTTTGCGTCTGTGGTTGTGGAGGAGGAGGAGGAGCAGCTGCAGCATCAGCCATAAAATTCTGCAACAAGAAGCAACATATGCAATGAGTGCGCTGTTTAGTATGGGGTACGATCTGTTAATGTGATAGCTGCTGCCATGTTTGGCGTGGAGACATTCATGCTTTGTTTGGTTGAGTGAAGAAAGAAAAGACTGTTTTTGAAAAGTATTTTCGTAGTAGTCTATTGTATCTTGTCTCCCAAACGAAGTTTGGAGAACAAATGGGCTGTGAAATAAAGATGGAAGCAGTTTTTCAGTTTGGCAAATATGCCAAAATCGCATTTTACTCTGTAAAAAACAAAGGGTAAAAAATGTTCCTAGATTCAATGGAAAACACCTCCAATATTGAGATTCACTAATGAGAATAGAATGCAGTGAATCAAAAAAATCAGATGTTAAGAAGAGTATGAATGATTACCTGAATCAACTGTTGTGCGGTCTGAACTTGAGAAGCAGTTCCATTTATCTCAACCGTCATCTCCCCGGGGATTCCTCTTGCTTCCTGAATGGTAACAGTAGCACCACTGACACGCCGAATGTAACTTATACTTGCACCATTTGTCCCAATGACAGCGTCAGCGTAGGACAGTGGGATTTGCATTTGCTGAGTGATCTGTGAAGTTTCAACAGAGAATTGTCAAAATACTTTAAGCTTGAGGTCCACAAGGGGAGTGATGATGGGGGTATATCTGGTACTAGGACAACACAAAGAATATACAAAGAGTATTTCATGGGTCTTCTTTCTATTAACATGTTAGCCTCCTTTTAGTAATATATTAGTATAGAAATTGGAATCGGTACCCTATTGCTAGTATTCATTATGATTACCTGTCTGGATGGGATTCTATTTAGATAATATTCATAATATCAACATTGTAATAGTTAAAACTACGTAGTATAAATGAGAGGTCATATTCATTAATAGAAGAATTTGCCACATAAGGGAGGATTATTTCCGGAAATTTCTCCTTTAAAATATTTCTCTAAATGCTTGCCATTTATGGCTCAGTAATTTAAATCCTAATTGATCCCATTTTCCTCTATAAGTTACTCCATTAGTCCATATCACATCCCTGTCTCCAACAGCAATTAACCAGCCACTTTCCAATCCCGGAGAAAGTTTTCATGTGCAATTAGTTTGCTTATATCCCGTAACAAATAAGATATTGTCAAATCAAACTCAAAATAAAATAGAAAGCATTTTTATGCAGAAAAATTACAAGGCTTGACAAATCAAGACCAAATACTCACACTGTTGATCATTAATACAACTTATATAGTAAAATAAGTAAGGACTCTGCAAGGAGGGAGAGGAAGAAAATTTCATGCTAAGAAACTACAGGAATACGATGTTTCAATGTGGATTTTATTAATTTAATTGTATCCTATAACTCAGGCATATGCAACATTATCCAGTAGAACATTTAATTTTATCATAGCAAAAAATGTTTTGACTCTATCTTATAAGAAGAGAAATCACCTGAGTAACTACAGATGATCCTGACTGGTTGTTAGATGGTGCATGGATTGCCATCGGAGGATTTGGAGTATCTCTTCCATAGGCAGATATACCCTGATGAGGTGGTCTTTCCATTGGAGGAGGCATGTCAGCTGGTGGATAATAATTATCTCGTTGCCTGGGAGGTGGCATGAAATGAGGGGTAGAGCCATATCCAGGACCTCCAACAGCATTAGGATGAAACGATTGAGGTGGAGGACCCCAAGGTTGGAGAGGAAATTGTTCCATGGGAGGTTTTAGCATTTGCATCTAAAAAGCATCATATCCATCAAGCGATCAAAATCACAGCGCTGGGGCGTATTTTCATGATTAAATAGGCTTACCTGCTGTTCAAAGACTGGAATGATGCTGCGGTCAACCAGAAATTTCTTCAAGTGCGAAGCTATTAATTCAATTGCCGTATGTACGCCAGTAGGCTCTCCAACCACTTCAACAACCCTATCATCTGGCAAAGCAAACACTGGAAGGTCCTCTGCATTTATTCACTTAACTCATCATTAATAAGATCAAGTTAATTGTCAGAGTAAAAAGTACTTACAAATCAGACAATAAATGGGAGAAAACAATAGCAGATGTACATCATGATGATATTCCTGAACATGGTAATTGGTAAATCATGTGGAATACAAAGATATGTTGAATGTAATAACAAGTAACCCCCCCCCCCCAAAAAAAAAAAATCATGTCCCCAAATAAGGTTCAGTTTGACTTGGCTCACTCAATAAGAAAGCAAAATTGTTGAAATTTCTCTAGAAAGAAATTCAGATGAACCCCAAATGTTCTTTCTTAACAACCTTGTTTTAGGACGGACAAAGGAAAAAGAAAACCATAATTTGAGATGGGGGAAATAACTATTTAAGCACCAAGGTGTGATTGGAATCAATGCTCAAAATGCCGTGCTGGGTAATTGATAAGCCTCAAGGCATAGATAAGAAAGAAAACATTCCTAAACTTAAAAGGTTTTAAAATTTAAACCATTATATTGTTATTTGCATGCTTAGCCTATAGGTACTCAAAATACCTATGATGATCCTTGGGGCCAGTAGGGTCATCTTGATATTTTGAGCCAAAGTATGTAAACGGTAAACCTAGCCATTTACATATAGCACATCCCATGGAAGAAGAAAACATCAGATTTAGAAGTACGCAGTCCCTGCTTAATGCATGGTGCAAAACCCTCAGTTCAATAAGTTCGACAAGTGACGTTATTCTTTATGATTTATGTGCTTCAGTTAATAAAGATGTAACTGTGGTATACAATGTTAGCCAGTAATTTATAAAGGAATAATGATTATAAAATGAATAATTTAGTTTCTCGAGTTAGTTTGAAGTAAATAAATTATCATTCAATGGATTGGAGTAGAAAACATCCTAACCAAATGAAATGCTTACGAGATATCCTTCCCTTGAAGGGCTACTAAGGGTAAGGCCAAGTCCTAGGAGGAGGACAGAGAAGTGGGTATTGTGGAAGACAAGTTCATGAGAAAGATATCAATGAGTGTTAGCCTCTTTGTCCTATCTTCATTTTTACTCTCACCGTCTGCATGTGTTTGCAGTGTGTACGCAAGGTAAGGTAGGTTTCATCACTTCTGTTTAGAGGAAAAAGGAGCAGAAAAGAAAGAAAAGAAAGGAAAGAGAAGTGATAACCAGAAAGCTAG